TGCTCGAATACATTTTCACATTTGCCATTTAGCAGTAGGGATTGTATGTACTCGCAATTCTTTCGGAGGCGCTGTTTTGTTGCACGGAGTGGTCTCAGGTCCAGGGTGCAACTAACTGGAGGTTCGCTTGTTTTGGCAGTGCCAAAGGCATTGCCTTGTGCTGAACTGCAAATGCTCAAGTCCATCCTCCAAAGTTCCACTAATTTGTGATGCAAGAATATGCTCGAATACACTTTCACATTTGCCATGTAGTCGTATGAAGTCGTCATTGTTTTGGAGCCATAGTTTTGTTGCACAGAGTGGTCTCAGGTCCAGGGTGCAACTGGAGGTTGAAACTTCTTTTTGCAGTGCTTTTTGCAGCCCTTGCGCTTTGCTGCCAACTCGCCGCCAAATCTCCCAAGAATTACGTCCTTGAATCATAGATTCTATAGAAGATCATAAAGGTCTACTACAACCTGCTAACAGTTCGTTCGATCAGACGGTTGATGATTGCGACGCCGCAAAAAGATCAACATAGTATTCTAATGTATTCTATCTTCCGGCAGCTTTCTGTACAAACAATACTCATCATGGTCTCCCGTGGTTGCCACTCCCAAAAGCCTCGTGATGGATGGCGATGGGTGCCATGGCGCAGGGGGTCCACCACGGCCCCGGCCAGTGGCGAAAAAGCAGTGTTACCACATGTGAGCACCACAGTACACAGTACTCAGTACTCCAGTCCAGAATTCCTCACTTCAATTATATAATTGCCAATGATATGTCGCTGATGGGCAAGAATTGGGCAAGAATGTGGAAGCGACAAAATGTAGGAGCATGCTGTCACTCAAAGCTCAAGTGCTACAGAAAGCCGGCATTCCAAATGTTGCGTTGCTTTGCCAATAGCGCTTTATTCAGCAAATCTGATGCAGCTTCAGGTCATGTCAGAAACTGTTCACTAATTGAGACAGAATTCTGATTGACCTGTTGTGCATGAAGCGTTTTTCCCAGCGAAGCTAGCCGACGAGAAGATGCACAATGAACGCAAAAATGATGCGCCGTTTGGTGGCAATGTCATTGTCACTTAGCTAACTCGATTTTTTTGCTGCCTTCACTGGCGGAATGAGACCTTATCACTCTTCATATCTTCATGATTGTTCATGTGTTTGCCACATTCATGTGTTTGCCACAGTTCCGGGATGAGCACAAGAAAAACGAGGTGTTGCAGCTTTGTCACGTGTCACGCCGGCGCTTTAGGCACTAGGGGAGCAGCAGCATCGACACAGTTTCAAAATGAGTAATAGACATAGAGAGGGAGAGAGGGAGAGAGCCCCTAGCCCAATCATGAACAATCAATGGAAGCAGCTAGCTGCAAGCTCCACGTCTTTCGACGGCAGCTTTGCAAGCGGAGAGAGTTTCAGGTGAGCGTTTGAGCAACGACCATCAGCTACCCCAAAGAACGAGTTCGGTGGTGAAACCACAGTGGTTGAACCGAGTGGCACAAACTGAAGCGAGGCTGGAATATGATAGATGTTGATTGATATTGCAAATCCTATATATACATATATATATATATAATAATGTTCATGTTGCAGTCATGCATGACGTCCACGAGGGTTGTTTGACAACATGCAACAATTGCACGTCTCCTGAATCTAAGTTATCTAAGACTTCATTCTATACGATTCTAAGAAGACATTATAACTTATAACTATATATAAGTGATTTATAAGTGATAAGTATACCCAAGTGGAAGCAGCAACAGCAACATGATCACATGGCGCCTTCAGATCTTGGCAAAGTCTCAGGCGGGGTCAAGGATCCCAACCGAATTGTGCTCGGATCTCGTTGCAATCTGTTGAACTGGTGCCTTTGACCAATTCTACAACTCGTGGCCGGAGTACAAAGCAGCTCAAATTGCAGAAAAAGCATGACAAAGCAAACTATCCTTGGATCCTGCTCTTTGGCTCCTTGGCTCCTTGGATCCAGAGGCCGGTTCACGTTCCGTCGCGGCATCGACGCATCGGCAGGCCTCCCAGCGCTCCGACAGCGGAGGGCTCCCTGAGGATCTTAGGAGGAAAAGGTCCCCTCAGGTCTACCTGCACGCTCGTGCGCGGAGAATCCGGGCCTCCATATAGAGGTCCAACCCACCTGCGCGCTGCCGAAGCGTTCGGTTTGTTCAACCGGTTTGTTCGGCAGTTGGACACACCATCAAGTTGGACGCAAAACCTCGGAAAACGTGAGTCGGACTTCACCCAAACAACTGGGCTCATTGGCTTCACCCTTGTCCGTCTTGTGCCACACAGCTCTTGTATTCAGATGTATTCAGCACCGTTTCAGTGCCAGACAGGGTTTGTGATGGAAGGTCGCATGAAAGAGGCACAAGAATGATCCAAAAAGACAAAAAAACTGGGCGCGCATGGGCGTGCATATAATCAATATGAATATATTGTATATATAATATATATATATATATATTGTTATGCATATACTATGTATATACCACCCATGGTAGCCCATAGCAATCCACAATGAACCCTGGACCAAGCACAGAGCAGTGGTGGTCAGGGCTGCGTGTTTTCACGCACATGCCTGTGCTAAGAGGCAAGGCAGATGAAGCGACAATTCATGACAACTCAATTCGAAGATCCGTTTCTGAAACATGTTTTACAGATTTCACATTCGCATTCACACAAATAAACATACACATTACATTAATATATAAAAATATATAGCAGCTGTCACTCATGCACAAAACTTCCCCGTAGTGGCCCGCAGTGTCGCCGCTTTGCAGCTTCTTCGGGCCCGAGACGGTGGTGATCACCTTTGCATCGCACGTTTTCCAACTGACAAAGAAGTGATCCGAAGTGGATGTGTTTGCACACTAGTCGTCGTTGTTCGCGCGCCGTTTTTCGTCGTCTCTTGGTTGTGACGACAGGCGTTGTTCGTGCTGGAAGATCATGGATTGTACTAACGAAACACCCGACCCTGGCCGCGCGACCCGGGGTCGAGAGTCAGCCATGGCCGCCGCCGAGATTCCGAAAATGATTGCCTCCAAGCTCCTACAAGGCTGGTGCATGCTGAACAAATCCTGCGAGAAGGACTTGGCCCCGCTGCTGAGATCACGGGACGGACAGGAGCTGTGCGTGGCTTGCGAGATCCGAGCGGCCGTTGCAGAAGGTCCGCCTCCAGTGAGATGTTTCTTGCCAGAGGTTGCTGCACCAGAGCCGGAGAGAACAGAGGATGTAGCAGCAGTGACAGGCTCGACTTCTCCACTCCTTGGAAAACAAGAGGTGCTAGGGAGCGCGCTTTGGGAAGTCACTGCAAAGGGCCCGGCGATGAAATTCTGTTGCACTAGGCTAGTCTCACAAAATGGCCAACGACCTCGGCTTGTTGCTGACAGCTTTGCAGTGAAGGTTCGCCTTGGCGCTGCTGTCGGTGTGGACTCTTTTGCACTGCAAGAGGCCACAGCTGTTGCATGCAGGACGCTGATGCACAAGATCATGCTGCCGAAACCTGCTGGTGGTAGCCCAGAGATCCGCGCAGCCAATGGGCAAATGTCAGTGATACACAATGACAAAACCATTTTCAGCTTTCCAGAGGAGGATTGCCAGCAAGTGCCTCACACCCGTGTGACGCCTGAAAGCTTAGCGGCGATTGTGTGGGAAGAGCTCGACAAGTCCACAATGCAGTCTCTCAAGCGAGCGGCTGACCTAACTGAAGCTTCTTGTCAGCCATGGTGGTTGGAAGTGTCTCTCATCGATGGCAATGGCCAAGAGACAGCCATGCGACGAGAACTGCAGCATATGCCTGCAGGCCCTTCATGAAATTCTGACATGCAACCAAGCTGGGCCAAGCCGAAGCTTGGCTGCAAAGAGTATGTTAAAAAGAAGTTGGAATTCAAGTGAGACACAAGCCTCGCCAATGTCTTCTGGTTCGAAATCGTACCCGTCGTTAGGCATCTTGCCCAAAAGTCTAAAACATCCTCAGCCGTTTCTATGCCTTGAATCTGAATGCTGACCAGAAGCATGTTTGCTTCTAATTGAGTCAAACAACATTTGCCATTGGCGACCTCTTAGATGCAGGGTGTGACCTACACCGCCGGGCACAGGCCGACGGGATGGAAATCGGCCTGGGGCTGTGGTCAGGTTACTATTTGCCTCTCCCAAAATGTGAACATATATGAGAACTGAACTATGGAAGGGGATGGAAGAAGCAATTTTGGTGTCATGCAGCCACACATCATTTTACGATCCAGACTGATGACTTTCTTCTATAATATTCTATAATTATATCTGATGACTTTCTTCTATAATATAAGCATGATTTTGTACTTGCTCAGTTTCCACCGAACGTGTGGGAGGTGAAGAGAGATAGGCCAAGACAAAACGAACATGCCACGAGCATTTTTGCCGTGTTGCCAATTTTCTGGATTCCAAACGATTTGAGACGAAGGGGACCATGTTCTACTTTGAGTTCAGGTTTGCTGATGTTCAACTTATTGTTGGCCCAGCTTTTTAAAGCCTGGCAGGTGTTTGTGCCCATCCTTTGACAAGTTATGCTCAGCCCTTGGAGAACAAAAAGACTTCCGCTCCACGTTGAGGACGTTCCCTTGCGAGTCGCAAGAGTGGAAAATATCGACAAATCCAGAATTTTCATATCAGCCGATTCCAGGGAATTCAAGAGCCAGTCAGCCAGTCATGGTCAAAATGTGATTGCGAGCCATTGAACGAAAGCAAACAGCGGAAGATCGCGCAATGAAATTGTAGTGCCGACAGCGGGCGCATGTGGGCACATAATCCGTCAAGACCTAGAATGAAAGTTTCGAAGCTTTTCGATCTTCACTTTTGGCTTAGAGTTTGTTGTTGACTGGTTTTCACCAGCTGCCGGAGGAAAAGAGAGATTTGCCGAGAAGTAGAGGTCTTGAGAGAGAGAGAGAGATTTGTATAGAACCAAGGGAGGAAGCAAGAAGTACTTGTCGGGTAGCATGGAGTTTGATGTTTGCTACACGTGTTCTCACCACTAGCGTTTATGCTCAGAAAGGATCTGACTTGTAGTATGGACATGCGCGAGAGCACGCCAATGAGAATCCAGGCTTTATCAAGCACATGTTTGCTTCCACAAACAAGGACGGTTTACCAGTTTCTTTGATACAATGAATATGTGTTCCATCCGCGTGTGTTGCAATTGCTGATTAACACTGATAATGACAATGGTAAGGGGTTACGTATGATTATGTTCTGTCATAGGAACTCCACCAGTATGTGCTTTATTAGGACCAGGGTTACTTGATTAAACACCCGCATGCGTGCGAGAAGAAGGTTTTGCACGTGTTAGTTCACAGTGTGCTTTTAAAGTGTGTCGCAGTTGCCGAGGAATGCTTTGGTTGTTGATTTATTCGGCGGCTTTCTTTATTGCAAATGGCAGAGTTTGCTTGCCCGATGCAGTTCCTGAAGATCAGCGACAGCCTCTTGATCGCATGGTGGGAACAGATCTGGTATGTAATTGACAGGACCAGCCGAGCCGACACAAGAGGTTTGGCAACAGCTGCTGGGTGCCAAGCGGAATGTCGATTGAATCAACCACAGACCTCAAACTGAGAAACCTGCTGCAAGGCACTGCATGGTTTGAGTGTAGTCACTTTTGGGTGAGTACAATGTACAGTATATCAGGTGTAACCTGGGTTCCAGGGGTTTACTCCTGGCCACTAAGTAGTCGCAATTTACATCGATCTGTTCTTTCTCTTCTATTTGCTGAAGCCGTGGGCAGTCGACTGTGAGCACAGCGGAGTGTATAGATATCCCTGGTGGAAAGGGCATTGCGGCGATTGCGTTAAAAAGTTTGCCGTAACTTGCTTTTGCTGTTTCTTGCTGCGCACCCCAATGGGTGCTATGTGGGGACGATCCAGTGCAGCATTGCTGGCTGGGTGGCTGGGTCGCTGTAAAGTGCTGAACTCCCCTTTGACACCTGCGTCCAGGTTGAGATGCACAGTACAGGTCGAGGGAGCTGTGCATGCAGTGCCTTTGGTTCCTGGTAGGAATCTGCCTGTTTTGTACCTGTTTTGGTACGTGGTATTTGCTCTTCTGGCGTGCGTCTGGAGTGATGGAGTCTGTTCGCGGTTTGTTGTGATCTCGGTGAGGCGATGGAGTTTGCAGTTCACGTGATATTTCGGCTTGCGACGCGTATACACTTTCATTCTCGCCTTCCTTCAGCCTTTTTCAGCTTGCTACATTTCATTCATTCAACATTTCCCTACTATACACATCCCATTACCACTATTCACCCAAAGCTTTTGTTTTCTTGATAAGGTAGACCTTTCCATTGCAACCGGCTAGCTCCCTTACTGACCTCCTTTCATTATTCCTAGGATCTCGCTTTGCTTGCTGATGCCAATTGCCAGCTGTCACCATCGATGGGGTTTGAGTTGGGTTTCATAAAGGGAGAGGGTTTCGACCAGGGAAGACCGAAGGCCCTTTTATTTGGAGGTCTTTTTAAAGGATGAAGACCCTGATGGTTCGGTTTTGAAGCGGTTGGACGGAACGACCGACACCGTCTCTATCGGTCCCACTTGGATCAGTGATCAGCATCAACAAGAAGGATCAACAAGAATCAATCAGCAGATTTCTGAAAGAAGAACATAGTCAGATTCTCCGTGCACAAAGAAAAGGAAAGGAACGGGCTGTCAAGGAAGCTACCGGCAAGCGAGCCCAAGCAGTGGAAGAGCACTGCATTAACAAGGCGCCACGAACTTGTGCGACCTTCGAGGAAGTTGCTGTTTTTTCTCTCCGGCTTGGATGACATTAGCATGCAGGTATGCGTGTGGGTTGATGTTTGATATGTTCCGTTGAAGGGGTGAAGGTTGGGGGGGCTAATGACGTTGGTGTGGATATGCTTCGAAGATGATGTCATATGCACACACGCTGTGAAGATGACATTGGTTTGGATCACATGTTCTATGTGAATTCCCGGAATTTTCGCAACAATGGAACCAAAGATCCTTGGCCGGCAGTGCGAGAGCTCTGTCGCAAGGCGATGCGCCACTGAGAAAAAAACAGTTTTGCTTGATATGGGAGCCGCCCACTGCATGTATGTCAGACGTGACTTTTAACAACCATGGAAATAAAACAACTGCTATGAGACTATGAAAAAACACCCCACCTGAAACCAGAAACTGAACAAAGAATCTGACTGGGAAGGATGAAAAGAAGACCTGGAGCATTGTATCATACACTATTTCAAGAACACAACGCTTTGCACTCCAAAGATGAAATCGCAAGAAAACCTCCATTTCCGAACAACTTCAACAAAAACCATTCTTTGCAAACCCACAAAAAAACAGGGTCACTAACTACGCCATAACCTTGTATGAACAACAGCCCCTTTTTCTTGAAGAGCCCATGCATGCCTTTGAATTTGATGTTGCCGATCTTCATCTACATGCCCATGTTGGGGCCCCGCTAGAACGAACAACTCTACCGGTAGACGCTTGGTGGAGCCAGGAACATCACGATGATGGGGCAGTCCATGCCCATCGGGGTTGCAGCCGGAGACTTGGATAAAAGCCTTGGCCGCCTTGGCCCTTGAATTCATGTGCGAACTGAGAGTTGAAGCATGTTGAAGCAAACATTCCATGGATAGGAGGTAAAAGGTCGCCAGACCCTGCAGGGTTACAACGAACGATGTCCAGCGATGTCCGATGTCCTGTTGTGGGGGCAAACAGCTCCCTTACTTGTCGCCGGCAACAAGAGAGACTCACCTACATTTGACCCTGAAGCCACCCCAAGGCGGGTAAACATGCCGTCCACTTATGAAGTTTTGGGACTCGATTGGTGCGGTCCGCGGCACGTGTCTTCTTCCTTGATCTAAGGAAATTGGGATTCGGTACTCGTCCTCAGCTGTATGCAAAGATCAAGGGGCTTGATGGGACTGCCTTTGCACGTTGAACCAAAAAGGACTAATGCAAACTTCCAAGTATGTGAAGGACAAGGAGTCCCACCAACCCTTTGAACATCAATAATATTGTGTGGTTATGTTTCTTTGGTTTCCTGTTCTTTTTTCCCTCTTTGGCCAACAGGCATGACATGCCTATGATATGGCTAACCCATTTTTCAATGTTAGGGGCGTTACGTATTTTTTGCACATGTAACGGTGAAAGCCGGTTGCATTTGGTGATCCGATGGCTCTCAGGTTGCGAGGGATGTCTATGACATTTTGGTGAACGAGATCCTTGGTTACAATACTGTGATTTTGCCTTCACCAGGAACGATTTCTACTCTCCGTCTTCTGGCTGGATGCAAAGACAGTGTGACTTGACCTTTAGAAAGCTGGAGGCAACTCCAATAACGTAAGCACAACACAACATGCGAAAAATGTGTACTGTAATGGTGAGGCTCAAGATTGTCGTCGACCCCTTTTTTGTTCTACCAACCCACTTAGAAAATCTTAGAAACATAGAAAGCTGTTTGAGGGTCTACGATGCCTTTATAGATTATCATTTTTAGTATTGTTTGTGTTCTGCTTGCCAACGTTTGCAGCTCCAACAGGAGGCGGATGCCGTTGAGAATTGCAGCTTTCCACCAATCGCTCACGTGGGAATGGAACTTTGGGGAAGCAGCCTTCAGTCGGCAGGCATGCTTGAAAAACTGAAGCTGTTGGGAGAACGCAATCCTGAGATCCTGGGATGCTTGGTGAGATTAGCATGACCTAAAGCCTTAATCGAGTTGCAATACAGCTTGACACTTAGGGAGTTGCGTGAGTTTTCTCAAGTGTTTTGAACCTCGGTCTTTCTACATTGCATCCAACTGCATCTCAGGGAGTTTGCACACAGTGCTGTACATGTTGTGCTTTGGGTACTTAATTTCGATGAGATCCATTATGACTATTTATTTGTTCAATTCACGCCAAGTTATCAACTCAATTGCTCCTCATCAGTTCATCTCTATTAACGGCCACTCTCGCCGCTCTCTTTCCACATTTGTTGCATGTGCGTACTGAGGGAGGTCCAGCTTGAACTCCGAGCAGACACCTTAGTCTTGAGTAACTAGATTTGTATATTGTATGTATAAATGTATATACACATCTCAGATCTCAAGACTAAGTGACTAATGTTGACTAACGATTGTGGATTGAAAGCATGATTCAGCGATTGGTATGGCATCGTCACTGGATGATTTATAGTCGTGTGGTTAAGCAGGCATCCAAACATTGTGCGCAAACAAATGCAAACGATCTCCGCTCTTGTTCTGTTACTGAGATTGATCGTGGTTTCAGAGCTGATTTGCCAATAGTTGCCAAACTAGTGTTCAGGCACGGCCCAAAATGGACGAATTTGTTGTTTGCACGCGCGCGTGGCGTGAAATAATATACACCGTGTTTAAGTGCAAGTGTGGCAGCTGACCAGCGCGCACTTAGCACCAAAAGCCTGATGGCCTGGATACACTAAGCCTTCACTAAGCAGCCTTCGGGTTGAGAGCACTGACAATGACAATCAATATGTGTGGATCCTGAATGTATAGCATGTCACTATCATAGATGTATCACTATCATGACATATCCTGTCACTATCATGACATATCCTGTCATACATGACTGTATGCAATGACAGCATCATTCTCATAGAGATGTCCACTGATGTCCAATGTAACATCTTCCGTGCCAAGTGCGGGGCGAATGAATTTGCGGTGCTTCCATTCTTTCGGCGCATGTCAGGAAGCATGGGCTACTGGGGCCTGGAAGGCATGTACGTTCTCGGCAAAGCACGTCAAAGGGCCCTAGATGATGCTGGTCTTCATTTGTCTTATTATGGCAACCTGGGATGATGATTTTGCAATTTTTTGTGCCAGAGTTCTCATGATTTGTCCACTCGAACGAGTTAGAGGTTTGCGTTTCTACTCAGCACATAAATTGAAAGCGCAACTCACATATTCGGTTCACGCGCAACTTTCTTCCCTTTCCTTGAGGGAAGGTGATCAAAAGCACTTGAACGTGAATTGTTATTTAGTCGCCTGCACTGCTTGCAGCCCAGGCAACCTCAATGCATCATGGTTTCATCCGGAGAACTATGCCGCCAACCTGACAGAAGTGAACTTCACTAACCTTCGACCCTGTGTGCCCTAGATTGCCCTAGAGCGGTGTTGCTAGGAAGTCAGTCTACTTGAAAGCTCAGTGGGTTCCAGGCTCTCGTTTCTGTCGTGTGTGGCCGTTTGCTTTCGTTTGCTTTGTCCAAGTGTAGCGCCCACCCGGCGTCCGTGCACCGCACTTGTGGTCGGTTCTGCCACGAAAAATCATCATTGATGGCCTCCGAACATGTCTGGATTTACCGTCGAGGCAATGACTACCTTCCGTGCCAGCAAGGCCGCTGCAAGGTTAGGTGAAATAGAGATTCCAAGGCTCCACCGATGGGTCTACGAGATTTGGCTTCAGCGGGTGGTTTGTATGGTTTGAGGTGTATGCCATCATCGAGCCGTCGAAGAACTGAAAACAACTCTATCCAGACTAACCACACTCTGGTGACCGCACTCTGAGGATGGATGGACCAATGATCCCCTCGCCGCGCAGCAATACTTGGAAGCAACAGGTGATGCTGAGGGTGTTGTACAGCAAGGTGGCACGTGACTTGTCCCAGTGCCAGTCGATAAGCAATAAGATGTAATAAGTGTTTGGTAAGTGTTGAATTGTTGCCTCCAAATTCACTATGTTGGATGGTTTCCCATCCTGAAAGGTTGGATTGGGAGCCTCTAAATGCCTGTTGGGCTCTTCCTTGGGCGCCTGCCAAGGACCAAATTCAAGTGCTGGGAAAACAAATGGTGGCTACCTCCCGCTTGCCGAGCCAACCCGTTTCACTGCATGTCACTCATCACTGGCGGCAACGGCTGGGGCATCGGGGAATTGACGCAGCAAATTTCCTCCCACAACATGCCCATGGCTTTTGCAGTGGCAACAGACAACGCGAAATGGAGGGAGGAAAATAAAAAGCTTGGAGGTTTTTTGTATTGGTGGAACCCCGATTCGTCGTTCGTGGCATATAATCCAGCACTTGTTGAGATGCCTCCATGGAGCTTGTCCGAATACAATCAGGGAATCTACAAGTCTCAGATTGAGACTCACCTGCAAGAGAGAATGTGTTGTGAAGGTAAAAGGGTGAGATCATCATGGAGGATCGGTAAAACGGTTGTTTTTAGCCTTCGAAGTAAGAAAGAATGTAGGTGGATAGGATATGATGGGATTGGATAGGCCTTTTGTATCCTTTTGTAGGACAGGCGAACGGATAGGCCTTTGTTGGCAAATTGTCCGGGCCTGACCGTTGTTCTGATTTAGGTAACATGTATATATCGTTTGTGAAACAAAAATATACTAGTACTAAATTATATAGTGTTTGTGATGGATGGATTTTCAATAATGTCGTTCTGACGGCCCTGCCTGCACGTATGGCCTGAGGACCGCGTAGAGCTTCACATGGGCATCGCAAGGGGGTTTGATGTTGTGGCAGATCGAGCGTACGGCTTGGCACAGAATCTTCACATTTCTGACAGCAGCTTTGCTTTACCTTGGCGCTGTTTTAGCAATGAACGGCAGATAGTCAATTATGTGAGATTGTGAAAGTAGCTGACAACGAGCGCATGCAAGAAGCTCACATGGCAGCAATTGCAGCTTCCTTTTGAAGGGCTGACATTTGACGAAGCTCTTCACTCTTCACCTTTTTCTGCATTCCATCCTACATATTATGTGGCGGTGAGACATGCCGTGCTCACCAAGGTATCATGAACGAGTTGCTGCTGATCCTGGTGCAGTCAGTCACGCCGGACGAGGAGCCATGGCAGACGGCTTGCACTTGGCTCCGGGCCAACCGGATTCTTTGGCAGGAATGGGTGCCAGACAAGACAGTCTGCTCGGTCGGCAGGGGCCTTGTCAACTTGCAAGGAGAATTTGTCACTTCGCGAGCTGATGCTGTGGACTGTGCCATTTGTCCCGCAGGGCATGCTTCCATGGAGATCAGTGGCACACGGGTGTGTTCCAAATGCCCATCCGGCACATACCAAAGCACCTTTGGAACTTCGGAGTGCAACTGGTCTTAACAAACAGGTGGTTTTTCATGGGCTTTGTCCGCTTCAACTGAAGAATCCTTCCAAACCAGAGTTGAAAAGCAGAAAGAAGGCGGATGATTGCACTCCTTTGTCATGGTGAGACTGTATAGGAAAGGTTGATGGGCACTGAGTAGTTTGGATTGTTTGTTGTTGTTGTTGTGGTGGTGGTGGTGGTCTGTGAAGATGTGTGAAGGATCTACATCATGCATATTACCTGATCCTCGAAATATCTGCATAAATCTCCATGAAGCAACTGATTTCTTGATGGTCTGGATTGATATTGGTTTGACAACGCATCTAACCCATGGTGATCATCTTTTGACACGCCCCTTCAAGGGGCTAACGAGGCGGCTGATCCATTCTGATTCAATCGAACTCATCGAGTGGCGGGCAGGGGCTGGGTGGTTTGTGAGAGGTGTATTTTTGCAGCTGAGTGGCCGAGAGACTTTTCAGATGACACGGTATCTCAACAACTCAGGCCTTGCCAAATGGGCCAGAGCCACTCAACCAGTCAAATTGGCATATCAGCTCCAGTCAAACCAAGGTATTTTGTGCGAGCTTGGCACTATTGCTCCACTCGAAGGCTCCACTCACTGTGAACAGTGCGGCCTCGGAGAATACGCCAACACCACCGGGATGAGTCGGTGCCACCCGCATCTCGATATTGACCAACGAGCCACAATTGAATCTAATTTAATACATTAATGTATATAATCAACTGTACCCCATTCTTCATTGCGAAGGGCAATTATTGTTGGCACTCACGGACATTCAATCAGGTACGATCAGCACAAAACGTGGCCACGTGTCAACTTTCGATAACTTTTGCACGAAGGAACACGCAAGTGAAACGCAAACAAAACGCATATCAAACCCAAAATAGTTTACGTCATCGCAGATGAGAACGCAAGTGGAACGCAAACAATACACAATTCATGCGTAAACTGCGCACAAGACAAACACAATCAACACACAATACCGTTTATGTTAGTCTTTGTGTTTATAGTGTGGTTTATGCTGTGTTTGTGGTGCTTTGTGTGTAAGATCTTTTTTTGGTATTGAATGAGATTAAGCATTGTGCAAAACCTCTATGTACACTCGTCTTATCTCGTCTTCCTAGTGTTATATTTGAGCAAAGCTTTTGGATTCTGATAAGTTATGTTAAGTGATAGGGGTTCCATCTTCAAGTACTGCTGGGTGCTGCCTAAGGTGCGGCATGGGCAGCGGAGAGGAGCACTTGTGGACCACAAGCCGGGAGATCATCTCAGGGGGAGGAGTCGTGGTGATTCAGCTGCTTGGGGCCGTGTCGCAATCCTTCTGCGCCTGTGGGGCTGGCACCTTCTTGTGGGACGGCCGCTGCCAGGTGTGAGGGGTCGATGGGGTCGTTGGTTGTCCTTGTGCCACGGAACAGAATCGCTACTAATTAGTAACAAGTGCATCGCTACTAGTAGCTTCTAGCTACTAATAGCGATGCCCTTGTTCCTAGTATCGACGCCCTTAGCTGGAAGCATGACAGTGTAGTAGGGTGTGTAGAAGACCCATCTGGGTGACGAAACAGGCTGGTCATCAGGGCCATGCCGTTGGGCCAGACACGCAGTCGGCCCTCAAACAAGGTCAGTTACAGTTTTTGAATTGATATTTGTTGAGGACAAGGGGTAGTGTAGGGCTTGTGTCACGGGTCAGGGTCAGGGGTTGTACGTGCCCACCAAAGGCTAACCTTCTCGCACGCAACCTGGAGGTGTGTTTCTTGGGCTGCATCATGCAACCTATCACATTGCAGCGGAATATACTAGTTACTAGCACCTGTGTGCTTATGTTTGTGCATTCAATCACACAGATCACACAGTTTGTGCCTTCACCCCATTCCCATTCCCACACTTGTCCCATCATATGTACACGCCTCATCTGGTCATTGTTTTCAGCTTCAAGCTCTGGCAGTTCTGGGACGACCAAAACCGTAGCCTTTCGATACCGGTGCTTCATCCCCCCCGGGTTTTCGTCTCCGGTTCTTCGCCCGGTTTGGCGCGGGCAGATGTGCATGGAGGGCTCCATTTGCCCTGGGTCGAACCGTTTGGAGTTGCGCCTTGAAGCGAAGCAGATGTGCTTAGTAAGGACCAGTGTAAGGACCTTCTTTGTTGGGATGATGGATCTAGGTATGACATGGTATGACTGCTCAAAGCTGTTCAAAGCCGTTGACCCCTACAACAAGTGATGAGTTCCGAACGGTTCGGTGTAGCGGTTCGAGTTCCTTGGTTCGGTGCACTTGGGGGTGGGTGGACGAGACTAGTGACGAGACTAGTGACTAGTGGGGGTTGGTGGGTGGCTTATTCTGGTGATTTCGCATTGACAAAGTCACACATGCAGAATCCAAGTTATGGTGAGATTTGGAGCATCCAATATTTGTGTACTCTTCCGTTAAAATTAAATGAGCACGGCTGGACCCTTCTTGCATTGGGTTCTGGTGGTCCAGAAGCTACAAGGTGCTACTTGTATGTGAATCTCCTCAGGGTTCGTTGTCTTTGTCTTCCTTTGTCACACGCCTATTCTGCTTGATTGCATATATGATGGCCTTGTACATGGTCACTACGTGTTGTGAACCATCACTGGTTGAAGGATTGTTTCATGCATAGACTGCGGCTCCCCATTTGACTTGAAAGCTCTTGATTTCCGATTTCCGGTTTGCCACTTTGCTGTGTGAATGCTCGGTGAATATTTGGGGTTCTCAAAAGCGATGAGTTTATTTGAGTTTGCGCTCCATATATTGAAGCAAGTTGTGCAATTGCAGGGATCTGAGAAAAACGAGCGTTTGCAGACCAGATTTGGCCGATTTCACCAAAGCCCAGAGCTACACCGAACTTGTAGGTGCCAACCGTGAAACAGTTCTCTTACGCTGCTCCCTTGGCTAACCGCTTGACTCAGCTAGAGTCCACTAGGGGCACCTGTTCGACTTCAGGAAGCCTGGCTTCTTTTCTACGCCAGAGGCGCCTGGTGAGGTCTACAATTGCTTTGATGAGCGAATTTGTCCAGGCCTCTTTGTAGGTAGCACCAAAACATACCAAAACCGACAAGCAGCAACTGGTAATCACCACGTATCTACATATAAGTATATCAATTATATAATATATATAATATGTTATATATTATACGTATTACGTACATACACACACACATGTACACATGGTTTTAACATTGTATAACATTGTACATTGAATTTGTATTCCCTGCTCAGCATGCTCAGCAGACATGCCCGAATCGGCGCGTCTAGGAGCATGCAACAAATTGATGGCGAAATGGATACAACAGGTCCATGTGTAAGAGACTATGGACTCTCGAGATTGAACCGACTTAAGTATTCAATGACTTTCGACCCTAGCATGTGCTCATTGCCCACACCCCAACCTCCTTGCAGCCTCCTTCAGGCGGGCCTCCCGGAACGTGCAGTCAGGGGCGGGATGCTTCAACTGTGGCCTGTGCACATTGCCAGGACGACTGGCAACAACCAGGGCCAACAGTGCGATCTGATCTGCTGAAATATATTCATTCATATGTGAATTGTGTTTATAGAAAAGCATGGAAAACAACTGTCTTAGCCTGCCCCTAGCCTTCTCAGAGCCTGCACAGAGAGAGAGAGAGAGAGAGCGCTGCTGGCATTTGTGGAGCCTGGAGGACGGATTTCAGGAAACTGGAGATAGGACCTGCGAGCCTTGTAGAAATAGTGACTATGCCTTTATCGCTGTGGTGGTGCTTGTGGTTGTGTGTGTCTTGGCTGGTCGCTGCGTTCGATCGAGCGGGACCTGTTGGGATTTGGATGCTTCGGAGCGACTCACAGGGAGAAAGAACATATAATACCTAGGGCTCCGAACGCCCCATGGATCCACACATGGTGGGACACCCCTGGCATCCACCCCTTGGCCCATCTTCGATTCATGGAGCCCATTCGGGAATAGTGGTTTCATGGCTCAGCGCTAGGCGCTAGGGATGAGGATAGCTGCTGCGTCCGAGGCTGGCCAGCTGCGATGGATGTCAACGTTTGTATAAAACTGCTTGCGTACAGTGGGTGATCAAGGGAATTTTGTGAGCAACATACTCTTTTAGCAGTCAAAATAAAGCCAGAAATGGTGGTGATATAGGATATATAGGACCCTAGAAAAATGGTTAGCACGTGATTGGCCGACCGTGTGTGAGTGTTCGTTGTGGCAAGAAAACGAGTCGAAGGTGTACGAGGGTGTTTGGAGAATGATGGAGACATAGCCATAGCCAAAGTTTGTTTCATCCGAGATCTGGGTGGGGCCCCCAAGGGGACATGCCACAGCCATCACCGCCACAGCCATGTCACAGTAGGCCACAGGGTGAAACGGGCATTTGCCAAGGTGGAGTTGGGGCGTTGCACATAACTCTCATGAATGAGACTGCTTCGAGACTTTGTTGATCAAGTGGGGAAAGATGGGCTGGACAGGCTGCCGACCAAGAGCACAAGGCTTTCACCAGCAAATGTGTTTTCTCTCTTGAAACATCTTGAAAATCGATCCTGCTACCCAGCTGTTAGAGATGTTGGGCATGCCCGAGTTTGGCCCCTATACCTGCATGAAAAACGCCTGAAATACTAGCATCAGTTGCACAGGGTAAGGATTTCATCTCCAACAATGAGCTGGTGGATGCTGGTGGCATCAAAGGTAAAAATCTACCAGATGGGGGTACAGGCATCGTCCCGCCATAGCATCGTTCCATCATTCTGTCGCCAGTCGTTGGCCGTTTCTACAATGTGACTGCTGCATGTACTGTATGATGCTGTATGTATGCCAGTATGTATAACAGAAGCGCGCAGAAACCAGGGAGGTGAAAACCATAGCTTCAACGGTGTGCTATCAGAATTCACTCACTACCAACCAACTAGATTGCGAGCCGCGGGCTGGTTTGGTGTGCATTGACATAGCTAGACCTCCCAAAGACCCCCCTTTGGTTCCTTCCCGAACAATCCAGGAAGGGGAGCTCCTTGTTGGTGGTCTTCTCCAGCCTGACGCAGTTCATTACCATTGTGCAGATGCTCTCCGTCCTCCGTCGCTTCGACATTGACGCTTGGTGTTCGGTCGAGTCGTCTGGTCTTCTCCCGGGGTCCGATGAACAGCAACGGACCTGCCAGGCGAGGTTTGATGCAAGGTCCCAAGTTGGCAGGGCAGGGCTATGACATGGTATGACGGTATGGCCAGGTGAAGTGGACCTCTTCAACCTGACTATATATGTACTGTATACATGTCATATCCTTCATTGGAGGGCGCACGAAAGACAAGCCTCGGTAGAAGGTTGATCTCACTCAAGTGAATCGACTCGAGTCAAACAGATTGGAGTCGAGTGTCTGTCGACGAGAGTCCATACCGAAAACGTCTCGGCGTTAAACCAATGCCCCTCGGGGCTCCTCGATCCTTCCTTTGGGATCGATCGAAGGATTGGAGGGAGCCTTTTGCCAGCGTCTTGGTCCTCTTGGAAGTTCTCAGCTTCGATGTCGATATGCTCTCAATGAATTGCGTTGCAAGCCTGAACTCCGTGGCCCTCTTTGGCTTCCGATGCCTCATGATCCCTATGCTCATGCCACCCGGCTGTTTTACGGAGCACGATGTATCACAGCTACAGACTCTAAGCTAGTTTGACGAGTCCACGAGTCCTAATTAGATCTGCACCTGGCCCATCCTTGCAACCATTTGATTCAGGCTTTACATGGCTTTACTGAAGTAGTCTACGGCATGCTCTATTTGTCTATCATCAGTATTGGCTTGTGAACGAGATAGGGCCCCCGCATAAACGAGATACTTTTGTGATTTGTTGTTCAAGTAGTCTGACAGAGAACGAGATAGTGTAGTGTGATTTGCTACTAAAGTAGTCTGAACGAGATACTGTGACATGACCTCCTACTTAAGTAGTCTAAACGAGATAGGGCCCCCACATAATAGATACAGTAGTGTATTTGCGTTTAGTACCAAATAAATGCCGCCGCACATCTTTCTGATTTCATCCAAGGTTCATTGCACTCGTAGTGCATTTGTGCTACCTCCTTCGTACACGCTCATCCACCTTCAAGCTGGGCAAGTTGCTCAGGACTGTTTCTTTTTTTTGAATGGGTGGGTGTGCAGAGTTCCTGAGAACCCATGCTCACGCACCTGACAGTCCGGCGTGTTCTTTGCTTGCGTTTTTTTGAGCTGGAGGACGATGGGAAGCATATTCCTAATCCTTTTCATCGTTCTTTGGTCAATGATTCTGGCACCCTTCCAATGCAATGAGCACCCCAATGGGATGCTAACCATGAAGAGATACAAGACGGTGTTCTGTGATCTTGGCTTTGCTTAAGACCTTTTTTTTAGCTCTCGGCTGTTCTTCCATCCATTGGAGAATATAGCCAATGAATGTTTGTTTCCCGGGGACGAGAGAGAAGTACACGCATAGGCAGGAATCTCAGACAACGAAACAAACTTGACAATGTTTCAGCTGCAAGAAGACCACCAAGCAAGGCGACCACTGCAAAAGTAACGAAAGAGGCGACAGGGATAAATCACCAAGTGAGATCAGAAACGATAGTTTACAAATTTTGTAGCAAAATAACAACCAGCAAAGGCAGCTAACCACTCAACTCTATTACACGCACACGCGCACACCAGCCCGAAGCTCGGAGGGGTCAAGAAAGACAGACTCCAGCCAACTAAGCTAGGCAAACAACCTGAATATCAAAACAACCAACAGATGGCAGACCCAACCTTCCAAGCAGAAGGTTGTGTATCTTTTTTGGGGGGTTGCTACCCCTGTGGCCATTGCTGGAGATACTGCAACCTAATTTTTTGTATCCTTGTTCTGATGAATTGCAGCCGGGCCGCCCTACGCGCATCAGGCTGCACTGACCAACTGCCCTCAGTTGAAATGGTCATTGATACTGAACTGAACTTCAAGTTCCTCTAGAATGCGTGTCATAGGGAGGCCTATTGGCTGGCTTGATTGCTATATAGGCAATCTTTTGCCACATTGCTCACCCCCATCGCCTCTTGGTCGGACATTTTCGCCCAGGTGATGGAGAGGGCGAGCACTTGGAGATGTTCATCCTGGGAGGTTTCTAGGCGAACACTGTCGCTTCCGGGGACAAATCTTTGTGGTGTCAAGCAATCCAGCCACTCAAAACGCTCAAAACCAGTAACCCCCGGGCCCGTTCGTTGTGACGGAACTCAGATTTTGCGCCAAGATGTGGTCGATGTATGTTTGACGCTGCATCTTTTCGGCGCGCGTGGCCAAGAGGCCCCGAAAGTTTGCATGAGATTGGCTGCTTTTGAACAGATTGGGTGCTGCATTGTCAGACACAGATCAGTGCACCAGGGTGTATGATATATTTTTGCATTTTCTTTGCGTATGTGGCCTGCCACGGCCCGTGGAAATTGATGCAATAAGTCTTGAACATCAAAACTGATGCACATCTTCCGCGACGTCTCCTGGGCTTCGGATTTCAGCTTCGGATTTTTGCATCATGAGCCGGGAAGTTGTACTCAGAGAGCCTGGAACAGCATGGCCCGTCTCGCATGCATCTCTTCGGTGGTTGATGGTTGTGTGAAAATGGCCACCGAGGTTTGGCCTCCTGCATGCCTCTCTTCTTCTTGGCGCTTTGCGTGTGGATTGTGGTCATGGAACTTCCCCGACGCGTGGCGAGGCGACTCTCCACGGATTGGAGCGGTGCGGTCAGCGGGAATTGGGGATCGGCGGAGTCTTCTTGGGCGGTTCGTGCCAGGAATACCTGGTTCGCGGGCGGTTGACGGTTGGTCCAAATTTTATCACTATAGTTTAGAGAAAGATCTTTAACTATATGCTAACCATGATCATCCACTGTTACACCCAAGAAATTTTGGTATGATGGGTTGGTCAGTGAAACTGAACAACACAATTCAAGGCAAGTCCAGTGGTGTTACATAACCGCGCTGACGTCCATGATGCCGACCCGGTTAACAAGTGAAGTTGAACGTTACGTGGCCTCGAAACAGAGATTCGCAATCCATTTCAGTTCAACATTCGATCTGCGGCTATGGACCCTGCAGATTTACAATATACATTTCTCCATCTCACTAAAACAGCTCAAACGTTGTGTTGGTTCTTTGGCGCCTCCCCTGCCCATGATGGATTATGTGTTATCCTTCGGTTCTACTCTTGTGAATCCTGATGTTGGTAGTTTTTCCTCCCTGCTTGTGATGTTGTTTGCGGAAGCTCCGGGCTCCTGGTGCAACATTGATCGAAGAAGAATAAATCAGCGTATATATTCAAACCCACTTCGAACTCAACTCGATTGTTTTTCCTTTTGTTGCAGCCAGGTCTGATACTCGATTCTTGGATGCTTGCTCTTTTCTCACCAAGCGCTTTCGACCTGGTATGGAAATGGCATCGGTCGTTGTGCTGGTGAGACGCTTGAATTATTCAGTGATATTCAGTGATTTTCAGGGATGATTCACGCTGTCAGGTGAGTTGGCAAGTCGAAACTCCGATTTATTGTTTGCTGCATTGCTGTATTCAAACCAACGTATTCACAATGTGCTTTAGTTTACATCCAGCAATCTTTCGCATAGCAAACTTGGAAGAGGGTGAAAAGAGTGCGTTTTGTGTCCCTCCGTTCGGCTGCAAGTCCTTGAGTTCAAAACTAAAACCTTGATGTGTTTCCTTCCCATCATGTTCGTTGAGCGATCCATTATATGGAATATCGGCTGGCTTCGATGGCAGGAAATGCATTTGTGGTTATGTGCCCTCTAGTGACCTCAACAGCCGGACAGCTGATGATGATGTGCATTTTGGCATCAAGAATAAGAAATCTGTTTTCAGAGGGTCAAGACCGCCTGGCCAACAATCAAGGGATAGGGATGGAGGGTGATGGGGTACCAGCTCAAAACGCGTTGCATCGAGGCTCGCCGGGCGCGGTGCCGGTGCGATAGGGTCCGTCCAAAGCAGTTCGGCGATGGTGCGGCGTTTTTGGACGGCCGTTCCAGGCATCATTTTGTATGCGAATTTGACCTGGGTGGCCTACTTCAAGCCTTGGCGGTTTCCGAGCCTCAGCCGCGTTGTCCCGATGTCCTGCGACTGAATGGAATGGTTGGCTGCCCGTAGGGAACCACCACCATGAGTGTCATGTATGCATGTGGCAAGTCCATGCCGGCAAAGCTGGCACAGGATATCGGGACATCCTCACACACCAGAACCTAATTGCCCTCAATCGAGGAAGAAATCCACCGGCCACAAAAAGATTGATTTTGAAGATGCGCCTCCATCAAGTCGGGTGCTGTACCAGTTGAGTGGGGATGGTGAGGGCATTCCGCAGGTAGAAATGACCTAGAAGCTGCACTTGGCACACGTCATCCAATGTCGCCCTCACTCACAACGCAAGTGCTTGCAAATGTCACCACATGTCACTGTGGATAGTTGACACATGTTGGCACATGCTGGCACATACAGTACTGGCACATGTTTCTTCCACAGATATATATGATATATATTTTTTTGGGGGGGCTTTTGGTCTTGGAAAAACAGCCTGGCAGTGGCAGGATCTGCAATTGGCTTGATAACTTGCTCCTGGGTGGGATGATGGTGATTCTGATGATGGGCACCTCGGCGTTGCGCGCGCAGCTGGGCGCTTGCTCGTGCGGCACATGCCATCAGAGAGCGCAGCTTGCAACACAATCATATCATATTCAGACATCCATTAGCATATTAGCATTTTCATATTATATATATATATATTACGTGTATACATATATATATATATACACACTTTAGAGGACATATTAAAACAAACATCCATTAGCATTTAGATATAGAAGACATGGAAATCCACGACAATCATCATAATCCATAGCACTTCTCAGGTGCTATCAGCGTGAATTTTTTAGACGCGCAAGCGCCAATGGTTATTGCAACTTGGCCGGGGAGTGTGCAAACTGATGTTAATGACATGTTTGCTTTCAGAAAGAGACTATGGGGAACTTCTGGGGCCATCAGTCCCTTTGACTCAGATACCGCCAGCTATCAAGCACCTACAATATCCTTGCATGTTTGAGAGTGCCAGTTCGCGGCAATCCACTTCCCAAAAAAAGAGTGCGCAGGGTGAACCTTGGTGGAGCATGAAGAGCCAGGTTGGAACTCGCCTCCTTACTTATATAATTAAGTAGACGCCTACTTATTTAAGTAAGGGCAGGCTTTAAACAAAGAAAAAAGCAGAGCCCAGAAAGTTTGCGAGGTGATGACTTTCGTGGTCATGATGGCCCTGTCGGTGTTGGCAGCGGTTTGCTGGGGCCTCTACCGTTTCTTCCATCAGAAATTCCTGAAGCTTAAGCAGCAGCTTGGCTCTGTGAGATGGTGTGGTTTTCAGGGTTGTATGGTGTTGTATTCTGTGAGATTTGTCGAGCGGAACATGTGTCAATCCAACCGCAGTGATATGCAATGTACATATTAAACCCTGAAGATTCTTTGGGTACATCCATCGAGTTCTTGGAAGAAAGTTTGTATCGAGTTGGCATACTTATACGTTGGATATTTTGTGTAACCCAGACGCAAACACGAGGGGCCATTTTGCGCGTGACTGAGAATGCTTGGATTGGAACTTAGACATGCTGAATCTTGGGCAAACTTGCCGCCCAGTGGTTTGGATCCATACACTGAAGCATCTCAAGTATGTGTGTCCGATTGTGTCCAATTTCTCTTGTGCCCACGTGGCTCATCGTGCAAGTACGCCCAATGTTGAAAAGCGCGCTCGCTCGTGTGCGTGTGCGTGTGCGTGTGTGTGTGTGTGTGTATGTGTGTGTGTGTGTGTCACCCCCTGTGCCAGAGGGTTCACTGCCACCGTTACCGTCACCACCTTTTTCCAAAGCAGGG